GGGCCCAGGACGGCCCAAGGAGGCGCACAGGAGGGGCCCAAGACGACTCCAAGGCGGCCTCCTCACGGTCCCAGACGGCTCCAAGACAGCCCCACGAGGACCCCGATGGGCCCAGGACGGCCTACGGACGCGCCCATGAGGGGCCCACGACGAACCAAGACGGCCCCATCAGGGCAAACGGCGCCCTCAAGACGGGCCTAGACGGCTCCAAGACGGCCCTTTGAGGGAGCCAACGCGGCCCCACACCCTTCGGGCGCACACTTGGGGGGGCTGGGAGCTTGCGACAAGTCTCCCACATTCATTGTCCTGCCCCATTCTGTTCGCCTGGAGGCCTCCTCCAACCCTGTGGGCGAACAAGAGGAATCCCAGCGGGACGCCAACCCTGGGGCCCGTGGGCCCCGCGCCGCTTGGGCAGAAGACGAACGCCGGGTCTGACAGGCCAGCTACCGCCCCCCTTTGCCCGATATGCTGTGCCATTCTGTTCCCCCAGGGGCCTTGGCAAACTCTTCGGGCCAAGCAGACCGGACCCCTGGGACAGCAGCCAATTGATATGACCCTGGGACCTCTCCGCATTCTTCGGACGAGCATCTGGGGGGCCCAGGAGATTCGGACATGTCTTCCCCATTCCTTGCCCTGTCCCGTTCTGTTCGCCCGAAGGCCTCCACAGACCCTCTGGGCGAACAGAATGGGACATGGCGAACAAACCCTCCCGTTGGCGGTGATGCGACTGGATCGCACCATCAAGGCGCGCCCGGAGGTGATGGCCGACCCAACAGCGGTTTCTCTTAAGAGTTCACTGGATTTCAAATTTTCTTGAAGCTCTCTTGGGCCCTCCCTGTAGATCCTTGCGAGCCTCCCCGGCGCTTTCGGTGGCTTTCCCCGATGGCCTCCCGAGCCCTTCCCCGAGCGCTCCTGAGACGCCTCAGATGGGCTTCGACTTCGACGCACATCCCCGAGAGACTTCGAAACTGTCCTCAATAGGAGGGGGGTGAACGAGCAGTGCGCTGGGCCAAGCTGCTGCAGCGCTGCAAGAGCTCGGACACGAAGGCGCGGTCTCGCTGCCGCCGCCCGAGCCGCCGCCGTGTTTGTAGATTTTCGGTACAATCTGCGCCGTTCCTCCGAGAACCATTCCAGAAAGATGTCGTGGACGGAGTCCACGGGTCAGCCCTAGTCAGCTACAGCGCTGGGATCAGTGCGTGCGAGAAGGGCGAGCAGTGGCAGCGGGCCCTGGCGCTGCCAAGTGAAATGTGGAAGGCGAAGATCGAGCCCAGCGTCATTATCTTTACAATTCTTGGCCTCGCGCTTTCGTGAAGTGCCCCTGTCCCAGTTCCTTCTCAGCAGCAGTTCAACTTGCAAAAAGGGCAAGGTGGCCGAGAGACTCCCAAAATAAAGGGCCCCTGGAGCCCCCGACGACGACCCCAGATGGCTCAAGTGGTGGGCCAAGAGGCCTCCAAGACGGCCCAAGAGGCCCCGCGACGCTCAGCAAGGCGCCCGGGAGGAGGCCCCCCAAAGGCCCGAGAAGGACCCCATATAGGGAGACAGAGGCCCGAGATGGCGCAATTCATTCATCATTTCATCGTACTCACGTTTCATTGGTTTTTGCCCTGCATGGTTTTCGGCCTCCGATCGTTCAGGGAAGGCTTCTCAGGCAGCCAGAGTGCCCCACTCAGTGCCCAGTGCTGCCCACGCGGCCCCAGCACCTTAGGCCTCCCGGGGAGCACAGCTCGGCCCGGGAGAGCCCCAGACGGCCCGAGAGACCGCCACATTGCCCCCGCGGGGGTGCCACGAAGCAGCAAGAAGCAGCAAGCAGCAGCACGCGGCAGCACGCGGCAGCAAGCAGCAGCAAGCAGCAGTAAGCAGCAGCAAACAGCAGCAAGCAGCAGCGAGCAGCAAGGAGCAATGAGCGTCAGCGAGTGGCACCAGGCCGCGGAGTCTGGCCGCCGTAGTGCCAGAGTCAATCCCTCGGATGCTGCGCTCTGTCCTGACGGTTTGCGTCCGCCATGTTAGTCCTAGGGGAAGCCTTGCTCAGCTACAACGCACAGATCAGCGCGTGCGGGAAAGGCGAGCAATGGCAGCGGGCCTTGTCGCTGCTCAGCGAGATGCGGGGAAGGAAGGTAGAGCTGAATATCATCAGCTACAGCGCTGGGATCAGCGCGTGCGAGAGGGGTGAGCAGTGGCAGCGGGCCCTGGCGCTGCTCAGGGAGATCCGGGAGGCGACGTTAGAGCCCACCGTCATCTGTATTACGGTCGGACCGAGGTCTAAGATCGAGGAGGAGGAGGAGGAGGAGGAGGAGGAGGAGGAGGAGGAGGAGGAGGAGGAGGGGAGGAGGAGGAGGAGGAGGAGGAGGAGGAGGAGGAGGAGGAGGAGGAGAGGAGGAGGAGGAGGAGGAGGAGGAGGAGGAGGAGGAAGAGGAGGAGGAGGAGGCAGAGGAGGAGGAGGAGGAGGAGGAGGAGGAGGAGGAGGGAGGAGGAGGAGGAGGAGGAGGAGGAGGAGGAGAGGGAGGAGGAGGAGGAGGAGGAGGAGGAGGAGGAGGAGGGAGGAGGAGGGAGGAGAGAGAGAGGAGGAGGAGGAGGAGGAGGAGGAGGAGGAGGAGGAGGAGGAGGAGGAGGAGGATGAGGGGCTGGAGGAGGAGGAAGAGGAGGAGCTGGAGGAGGACGAGGAGGAGGAGGAGGAGGAGGAGGAGGAGGAGGAGGAGGAGGAGGTCAGGTCGGGTAGGGTCGGGTCGATTCGGGTGGGGTCGGGTCGGGTCGGGTCGGGTTGGGTCGGGTCGGGTTGGGTGGCGCACGCAGGGTGCAAGCGAACCATCCTGTCGGATGCCCGCTCTCTGAACACCTGGGCCGGCGAGCAACGCAGGAGCACCACGGATTTTTCCCTCGGCCCCCTAGGCCTCGGGGTAAAGCCGCCGGCACACGGGCCGAGTCCAGCCTGGCGACGCTGCGACCCGCAGCCGAAGAGAATCGAAACGAGCCGCCCAGCCTCACTCAGAGCAGCTTCCTGCAGCTGCCGTCGCGTCTCTCGTACGGCTGGCACTCACCTGCATCACCAGCTGTTCGACAGAGTACAGCAGGGCGGCCTGGCACTCCGACGCCTTCTGGGGTCCAGCCTTCGCACGAGGACATCCCCGACCACGGCCATGCTTGCCTCGAACTGCATGCGCAGCGGGCCCTCCAAGAGTGCATCGACCTTGGGCTGTCCATGACACTCCCTCATGAGGAGGGGGACGAGGAGGAGGAGGAGGAGGAGGAGGAGGAGGAGGAGGACGAGGAGGATAAGGACCTGGAGAGGAGGAGGAGGGAGGAGGAGGAGGAGGAGGAGCTGGAGGAGGAGCTGGATGATGATGATGATGATGATGATGATGATGATGATGATGATGATGATGATGATGATGATGATGATGATGATGATGAATGATGATGATGATGATGATGATGATGAGAATGAGGATGAGGATGAGGAGATGAGGATGAGGATGAGGATGAGGATGAGGATGAGGATGAGGATGAGGATGAGGATGAGGATGAGGATGAGGATGAGGATGATGAGGAGGAGGAGGAGGAGGAGGAGGAGGAGGAGGAGGAGGAGGAGGAGGACTGGAGGAGGAGAAGATCGTCGTTGTCGTCGTGGTCGGTCAGTGATTGGAGGGGGCGGCGGGCAGGAGCCTCCACGAACCTGGCAGCGAAGCCTGAGCTGGGCGGCCCCTCTTGCTCGCGCCCGCCCTTGCTGGCCCCCCTTTCCCGCGGCGGCCCTTGTTGGTCGCTGCGTGCGAGGGCCTCGCACCGGCCCCACTGCCCCTTGCTGTCCCGCTGCGCTGCCGCTGGCTGCTGCTGAGGCCTCCCTGCGTGCCGCCTCGTGCACATCCCGCCGGCGCCACCCTCGACGGCGGCCTCTCTTAGGGCTGCTTGCCGCCACCGTGGGCGCCGTCGCTCTCCCCGTTCACCTCCGGCTCGCGCTCACTGCCGCGCCGAGCAGTCGCTGGCCTCCTTTTCTCAGGAGGGGAAAAAACACAGACACAATGAATCGTCGATTCCCAGGAAAATATGGGAAGTGGGGGGGAAGACAAAAACCAAGAAAATATGGGAAAATATGGGGAAGCATTTTATTTGCGTATATTTTTTTGCGTGTCCCAGGGCCCCTTCATTTTCGTCTTCGTCCCCGCCTCCTTCCCGCCGCGACTCCACGGCGGCGGGGCTGGCCAGCGCGACGACCCTCCCGCGCCACCGCGCCAGGGCCGGGCTGCTTCCCCGCGCGTGCGGCGCGGGGCCCTCGGCGGACTGGCGCTTCTCGCCCTGCGCCTCGGGCTGCCCCCGGGGCGACGCCGTCCTGGCCCTGGAGAGCTCCAAGGCAGTCCGAGGGGGCCTCGAGAGATCCCACGGTGGCCTCCATGGAGCCCTCAGACCGCCCAGGAGTGCCCCACAAAGGCGGCCCAAGGGGTGCCAAGGAGAGGGGCGAGAAGGAGGCACTGACGGTTTCCTGAGCGTTGTTTCCAAGATCTTCTCTTATTTTCGCCTCTCCAGCGCAAAATCGCACAAGACGTTCCAAGAGGCTTCCGAAATCGGCCCAAGGCGGCCCAGGCGGCCTCCAAGAGGGCCCCTGAGACGGCCCAATAATCCATCCAGACGGCTCCAGAGGCCCCCTAGGCGGTCCAAGACCCCAAGGCCGTCCCAAGAGGGTCCAAGACAGGGGATGCCGAGCCAAAGTTCGGAACGCTTCCCCCCGACCCAGTCTCCTCCAAGCCCCCTAGACGCCCCCCCAAGAGACTCCCAGACGCCTCCAGAACGGCTTCAGAGGCCTCCCAAACTGTCCAAATTGGCCCCACGGCGACTCCAAGAGTGGTCCGAGGGAGGCGTCCCCAACTGCAGCAACAGCACGCAGCAGTGGCAAGCATTACCACCAGCAAGCAGCAGCGGCAGCAAGCAGCGGCACGAGCATGTCCTCCATCGCATGCCATCTCGTGCAGACTTCGTGGACGTCATCCGCGGGCGAGCCCCAGTCAGCTACAATGCCGGGATCAGTGCGTGTGAGAAGGGCGCGTCCTGGCAGCGGGCTGTGGCGCTGCTCGGCGAGATGCGGGAGGCGAAGCTGGAGCCCGACGTCACCTTCGTCTCTACCGTGCCAGCCACTCCGCATGCCCGAGCGGCCAGATGCCGAGCTCTGGCCGGGCACCTGGGGGCGGGCCGCCTCGGCGGCTCCACTCGTGTGGTGCCGGAGGTCGATGGACCTCCTGCCCTGACGCGTCGATTGGCGAGTTGGTCGTCTTCGGTTCGCGAGAGGGCGTCGCGGCCGTCATTTTTGCGGGTCCAGGTCCGTCGGTTTCGGTCCCAGGCCGTTTTCACTACAAGGTGGTTTACTAAAGGGAGGTTTGTCCACCGCCGAATCAACGACGGCCTCAGGGGGACCTAACCTAGGTCTACAGGCCTCCCCCGAGAACCTCCAGGAGGGCCGCGAGGACGCAAAACTATCGAAACTCTCGAGGTTTACTGGTGGTTTCTCTGATGTCCGCTTCTGCGGCTCGATGAAGCCCAAAACTGCACCCCAGGCCTAAGCCATGACACCAGCGCAGACCTGGCGGCTCCCATCAGAGCCCCTCAGACGGCCCAAGAGGCCCTCAAGACCGCTCCAGAGGCTCCCAAGACGGCCCAAGAATCCCTTCCAGACGGCCCCAAAGGAGGCCCGAGAGGGCCAAATTTGGAACGCTTCCCCTCATCCAGCCCGATACGGCACCGAAGGCTTCCAAAATCGGCCCGACGCGGCCCAGGCGGCCTCCCAGAAAGGCCCAAGACAGCCCAAGACGCCCCCCGGAGGCCACCAGAGGTCTCCCGGACGAGCCAAGGAACCCTGACGCCCTCTGAGAGGCTCCCAGAGGCGCCAGAGACTGCCTAGACGGCCACCGGGCCCCCAACATGCCTTAGAGACGCTCCCGAGGGGCTCCCAGAAGACGCCCCAGACGCCTTCGCAGAGGCCTCCAATAACCCCTCCATCCAGGACGCACTGCAAATTACTACTTCGTGGAAGCGCCGCCTGACTGCGAAAACCCACACCCCACACCTTTTGGGACACCTCTCGCGCGAGAGGGGCTGCAAACCATGCTTCCGGACCGAGCCGCAAACGCCCAGGAACGCTTTTCAGGGACCCTTCTCGCACGACGCGTGTCCCAGGAGGTGTGAGGTGTTTCTTTTCATACTGATTACTTTCTCCTCCGCGACCTCCTCCCCCTCCTCCTCCTCCTCCTCCTCGACCTCCTCACCTCGACCTCCTTCTCCTCCTCCTCCTCCTCCTCCTCCTCCTCCTCCTCCTCCTCCTCCTCCTCGACCTCTCTCATCCTCCTCGCTGCCCACGGCTCCCTCTGCCCAGTGGCTGCCGTGTTGTGCTGGTCACGTCGCTTTGACTCGCTCTCGGACTACTGCCGATGCTGCCAGATCCGCTGCTGCTGCTGCTGCTGCTGCTGCTGCTGCTGCAAGCGCTGCCTTGGACGCCGACACAACCATCAAGCACACAGCTCGCACTGGAGCACTACGCAGCAGCAGCAGCAGCAGCAGCAGGCGCATCCTCAGTACAGTCGGGTCGCTGAAGAAGGACCCCTTTTCGTTGGGGAGGGGCTCCGTGCTCCCAAAATGTTTCACAGCTTGCCTCAGGCTTTCCTCATGTTTTCGACGGGAGATCGAAGTTTAACCCATGGACAAAAAGGGGCCTCGTTCCTTATTTAGGGTTCCTTAGATCAACGCCCCGACTCCTCCCTGTAGGGGGACGCGCCCGACCTGACCTCTAGCGCCGAAGTCGGTCGCGGTACAAAGCTTGCAGGAGCTTCGCGGGCGGAGGGCGATGCCTCTTCAATCCTCGTTCCTTATTCAGGGCTCCTGAGGTCAATGCCCCAGGCGTTCCTTATTAGCTATATTTAGGGCTCCTATTTAGGGTTCCTTATTTAGGGCTCCTTATTTAGGGCTTATTTAGGGCTCCTTATTTAGGGTTCCTTATTTAGGGCTCCTTATTTAGCACTCGTGGGCAGCAGGCCACAGGTCAGCTCCAGTCCTCGCTGCACTGCAGGGCCCCTCGCGTGCGGGAGCGGCGCAGGCCCGGCGGCTCCTCGGGCGCCCGCAGGGCCCCCAGAGGCGCCGTCGGAGCCCCCAGGCGCTCCACGGCCCCCCTCCGTGCCGCTACGCCTGTGGCGGCCAAGGATGAAGGGGCCCTGGGACACACAAGTAAATACACACAAATAAAACTATGCCCAATATTTTCCTATATTTTCTGGGTTTTTGCCTTCCCGCCCACTTCTCATATTTTCCCATATGATTAACTGTGTCTGTGTGTTCTTTTCCTCCTGAAAATGATGAGGCCTCCGAGATGGTCGGAGAGGACTCCGAGACGGCCCGAGAGCGCTCTAAGACGCCCGGGACAGCCTCCACGCGGCCCACGATGCACCCGAGGCGCTCCAAGAGGGTGCCGAGTGGAGTCCCCAGACCCCCCCCCAAAAAAACAACAGCCGTTCAAATCACATCTCGTGCTCTTCTCGCGCTTTTCTTCTTCGAATCCTCCAACAAGGCAAGACAGGCCCCAAAGATCACCCCAACACGCCCTCAGCGGTCCCCCTGACGGCCTCCAGAGGCTCCAGGACGGCCCAGGAGGCAACCAAGGCGGTCCAAGACGCACCCGAACACGGCCCGAAGGGTGGCCCAAGACGGCCCCAAGGCGGTCCTAAGACGACCCTTAAGAGGCGCCCGAGAGGCGCCCAAGACGGCGCCCAAGACGGTCCACGAGACGGCCCAAGAGGACCCAAGGAGGCCCACAGGAGGCCGAAAAGGCGCCACCAGAGGCTCCCAAGCGGCCCCCGCGGGGCTGGCCCAGAGGGGGGCCCAAAGGTGCGTCTAGGCAGGCCCGAGGCCAGAGGATGGCACGCTCGTCGGGCTCCGCGGCGGTACGGCACAGGTGTGCGAGGAGGGCAGCCTGCTTCCCCAGGCCTGGCCCTGGGCTGCCTTGCCTCGGCAGCTCTGCTCGGGGGGTGGCGCCGTCCTCGGCGCCCAGGCAGCGCCTGGCTCGCCTCCTCTCCATCCGGCAGGGCCCGACATTGCCTCGGATTGCCCCGACGCGCCTCCAAGCCAGGCAGCCCCAGGGAGGCCCCAGGGCGGTCCACGAAGCTCCCAAGACGGCCTCCCGAAGAGCCCCAGGATGGCCCCAGAAGGCTTCCCCGAGGACCTCCAGAAGGCCCGAGAGGGCCTCCAGAGCTCGCCACGACGGCGCGAGAGGCCCTAAGGAGAGCGGCGAGACGGCCAAGGATGGTCTCAAGAGGGCCCCAAGACGCCCCCAATACGACCCTGGCGTGCCCCACGACCCCCAAATCCAGCAGCAGCAGCAGCAGCAGCAGCAGCAGCAGCAGCAGCAGCAGCAGCAGGTCGAGGTTGCGGAGGTGCGGGCGGCTGCTGGAGTGCACCCGGACCGCGCCCTCGTGGGCCTGGACATCGCGAACGCGTTTGGACAGGTGCAGTGGGCCGAGGCTGCCAAGGCACCCAAGCTCGCGGTGCCCATGGCCGTCATGCTGTGGGGAGGGCGGTTACGTGTTCACCTGCAGGACGCCGTTGGTCACGGATGGCACTCCTTCACCATCTACGGCAGTCTCGCGCAAGGCAGCCCGGACGGCCACCCCGCGTATTGCACAGTCATCGTGGTCGTCGCCGCCCACCGCCGCAGCATATTGCACTGGTTGTACGTGGACGACTGCATCGTCCAGGTGCCCCTGCCCGTGGCGTGCGCCCTCCTGAAGGTCATAGTCGACGCAGCGGCAGCCCGAACTTTGCCGCTGCAGCTCACGAAGTGCGCCTTCCACGCCCCCGCCTTGGCTGGCACCCGCCCCGAGCACCTCCCAGATGCTGCTCGTGCGCCCGCCGACCGCATCCAGTGCAGCCCCGACGGACTTGTGCTTTTGGGGACGGAGGCGCGCGACGACCTTGAGGTCCCGCGTACGTGCTGGCAGCGCGATCCCCCAGCGTGCAGCTGGGCGCCTGAACAGGGCGCGCCGCCTGGCCGAAGCAGTTCTGGAGATGGTGCAGCTCGCGCCGCCGACGTCCGTGAAGCTGGCGGGCTTCGCACTGTGCCGCGGCGTCGTCGCGCACGCGTTGGACTACGACGCGGGAGTCTTACCCTGCAGCGTGTTGCTGCCACGCGCCCGCGTTCTTGACCAGCACGTTCTGCGAGTAGTTGCGGCCGCGATTGACGAGTTGGTCGGGGCCTTCACCGAGAAGGAGGTCGAGCAGGTGGGGCTGCCAGTGCGCTTTGCTGTCCTGGGGGTCGAAATGCCGTCGCACATCGTTCCCCTATCGCGCGTGGCCCGGCTGGTCGAGGGCGGGCCTGCCGTCAGGGCGGCTGTCGCTTCCTGGGCGGCGCTGGAGTCCGGCGGCGCCGCGGCGCCCGAAGAGCGTGGGCGGTGTGACGGCGTCGACGCTGCTGTCGCGGAGGGCGTCCGGGATCTTCTCCAGGAGCGCGGGGTCAGCTCGCTCTCGGGGCGCGGTCGGCCCTGCGCGCTGGCTGGCGCTGCGGTGGCCGATTCCCTCCGCCCAGCGGCTCCGGAGCGGCGTCTCCTCAGTGCCTACTTGCACCACTCTGCACGCATCTGGTATCTCACCAAACTGGATCGTGCCAGGCCCAAGGACCAGATACGTTTGCTGAGTGCTGCGGGGCCGACCGCCGGCGCTGCCCTCGTCTCTGAGCTGGGCGTCCCAGGCGTGGCGGTCGACGACAGAGAATGGACGGAGGCAGTGCGCTTTCGTCTTGGCTGGTCTGTTCGCCTCGCGCCCAGCACGACGTGTCTCAGCGTGAAGGCGTCCACCAGCGAGGCCTGCGGGGAGCTGCTGGACCAGCGCGGCGACCACGCCGCGCAGTGCGAGTGCTGCCCCTTCCAGAAACTCCGGCACGAGGGCATTGCGGACGTGCGCGCGGGCATCATGGCCGAGACCGGTGGGCTGGTCCGCCGGGGCGTGTTCGTCCCCGAGTTCTCCCAGCAGGCCTCCGAGGCATGGCTGGACGTGTGGTGCCATGGAGTTCCTGAACTCCCAGACTGTCTGGTGGACGTCGCCATTCGCCACCCCATGGCGGACCGGTATGATTTGGCAGCTTCTCGGGCAGCCGGCAGCGCCGCGCGGGCCGCGGAGGTGGCGAAGGCCGACAGGTACCCGCCTGCTCGCGGCCACAGCGTGTGGCCGGGTGCGCACGATCTATTCGGGCGGCTCGGCGTGCGGGCGGAGACCCTCCTCGCCAAGTGCGCTGTCGCGGTCGCCCGGCGCGCGTACCGCAGGGGCCGGCTGCCTGGCAACAGCCTGCGCCGGTTGCGCGCGCAGCTGGGCGTGGCGCTTATGCGCAGCCTGGCCGAGCAGCTGATCTCTGCCCGGCGTGGCTTGCCAGGCCGCGCGCGGCGGCGGGCGCCGCCGGCGGACTGGCGGTTCCAGGAGACGCGGGGCATCCGAGGGCCAGCGTGTTCCAGCCGTGGTGCAGCACTCATTTTTCAGGTGAGCGCAAGCAGCAGCAGCAGCAGCAGCAGCAGCAACAGCAGCAGCAGCAGCAGCAGCGGCGCCACGTCCAGTTAACAATAGCAGACATCAGTAGAAGTCAGGATTCGTTGCTAGCTGGCACCAGCAGCCTGGATCACTACGCAGCATCGCCGTGCAGCAGCAACGCAACGACACCAACGCGCGGTCATACCGCCTGCGCAAAGCAGCATTCACCAAGCGCCAACAGCCAGCACCAAGCAACATCAATCAGCAGCACCGAACCGCAACAAGCGGGTGCCAACACCAGTCAGCGGTTGGCAGCAACTGAAACGAGAAACAGCAAACACTAGCAAGTATCTGCAAGCAACGCTGAGCAGTAGCAAGTCGCAGCAAGTGGGAGTAAACGAATCGAATGAAACAAAACACCCGACAAATCAGGCCAGCTAGCCAGCATACAATCAGGCAGACATGCAAACAATCTGCAGGACCCGCATGCTAGCAGCCACGCAGGTTGAACTAGCAGACATCAGTTTTAGCCACCAGAAACAGTTAGAAACAGACATTTGCAGCAGAAGCTTCAGCCAGCGGCAGCTAACACCAAACAGGGCCAAACACCGCACACGGCAGTACACGGCAGTGAGCGGGCAAATGCGTCCTGCCGAAGGACCCAACCATATGCAGTTGTGGGTATCGCCGTTATGGGCATCGCCTTCGGTGGATCTCCCTATGGGGCCACGAAGCGCCGCACTAGGTGTGGCCGACGCATGCGAACGTCGCCACTGGGGCCTTCGGTGGAGGTCCCACTGGGGCCACGAAGCGCTGCACTGGTTGGGGCGGACGCGTGCGGAACGCTGCCACTGGGGCCTTCGGTGAGATTTCCAATGGGGCCACGAGGCGCTGTACTGGGTGGGGCGGACGCATGCGAACGTCGCCGCTGGGGCCTTCCGTGGGGCTCCCGATGGGGCCACGAGACTCTGTATTGGGTGGGGCGGACGCATGCGAACGTCGTGATTGGGGCCTTCGGTGGAGCTCCCGATGGGGCCACGAAGCGCTGTACTGAGTGGGGCGAGCGTCGCCACTGGGGCCTTCGGTGGAGCTCCCGATGTGGCCACGAGGAGCGCGGACGCATGCCAACGTCGCCATTGGGGCCGTCTGTGGACTTCCTGATGGCGCCACGAAGCGCTGTACTTTGTTGGGCGACGTTGGAGCTCCCCATGGGGCCACGAAGCGCCGTATTGGGTTGGACGGGCGCATGCGAACGTCCCCACTGGGGCCTTCGGTGGACTTCCCGATAGGCCCACGAAGCGCTGCACTGGCTGGGGCGAGTGCGTGCGAACGTCGCCACTGTGGCCTTCGGTGGAGTTCCCTTTGCGGCCACGAAGCGATGCATTGGGTGGGGCGGACGCATGCAAACGTCGCCATTGGGGCCTTCGGTGGAGCTCGCGATGGGCAACGAAGCGTGTGAGGGGTGTGCCGAATTGGTTGGCATGCGGAGAGCAGAGGCGCGCAAATGAGGGTGGAAGGGGGGAGGAGGGGGCAGAGGAGGAAAAGGACAGAAGAGAAAACGGGAGGAAGACGCGGGGCGCTGTCTTCTCAAACCGAGGAGTCAAGCCCACAGCATGGTTGGGAGATGCGATGAGGCACCCAAGCAATCAGGCAAGCCTGGTACCAGACACGCTGATCATAATGAACACATTAACTCCGGGGAGAAAACTATCAGGCCAGCAAGCGAGCAGCCATGCGCAGGACAGTACGGAAGCAGGTGAAGCAGGCGTGCGACCCTAACCTTTGCATTTGAGCAAGCTGTTGTGAACGTAAAATCCACGGGTCAGCTACAGCGCTGGGATCAGCGCGTGCGAAGGGCGACCAAACGACTTAAGAGGAGACCAATTCGGCCGCACGTGCGTCGAGGTCATTGGGAGACCTGTGTGGTCGTTGCTCGTCAACCCTCTCTTCTTCCTGCTCGTTCCAAGCTCTTTGCTTCTCGCCCATGCTCATTGTTCCTTGCCCGTATCCCCTCACTCCTCCTCGCTCCTTTTTCCTGGTCCCTGGCACCTTCCGCACCGGCAACACCTCTGACGGCCTCGGAGCGGCCAGACGGGGCACGAGGACGGCCCCATGCAAGATTACCACAAGACGGCCCTAAGCAGCAAGCGGCAGTAAACGGTAGCGAGCTGATGAGCAAGCACCGAAGCAAGCAATATCGAAAGCAGGCGATCAGGCCACGAGTTGCAGGCCGCAAGGCCAGCGACTTCGCTGGCAGCATTGCAGGCGGGAGGTAAATCAAAACAAGCGGTCTGCACTCTTGCATGCGAGTGAGCTTTCGTGACCACCGGGAGGATGGAGCGTTTCAAAGAGGGCCTCGCCTCCGAGGGTCGAATGAGTTGTCATCTCTTCCGCGGCGGAAGGCGGCGGAAGGGCGGCGGACGGTCGGCGGAGACAAGGGCGGCTCCGCTGGCGGTAGCCGGCGGAAGCCGGCAGAAGTAAAACATGCGCCCCCAAGAGATGAACATATCTTTGGGTTCAGGGTTTCCCGAGTCGGCCAAAGCAGGCCGCTCGTCGTTGATAGTTCACGGGTCAGCCCTAGTCTGTACTACAATTTTGTCAGCTACAACGCTGGGATCAGCGCGTGCGAGAAGGGCGATCAGTGGCGGCGTGCCCTGGCGCTGCTCGGCGAGATGCGGGAGGCGATCTTGGAGCCCAATGTCATCCACAACACGGTCGGACCGAGGTATGTGATCGAGGTCAGGTCGGGGAGGGTGCCCTCATGGGCTTTGTGCTTGCTGGATGTTCTTGTGCATCCTGGGGGAGGGCACCCTCGAATGCTCTCCTCCAGCCCAGGCCAAGATGTTCCCGAGACTGTTTAATGTTGCTTCACGAGAGCTCTGGAGGCCTTCGAGACCGCCAAAGAGGGCGCTCAGAGCCTTTCCACGAGTACCCGAGCAGGCGAACCGGGCTACACACAAATATATATATATATATATATATATATATGTATATATATATGTATATGTATACACACGCATATATATATATATATATATATCTATCTATACACAATACACACATATATATATATACACATTGTGTATATAGGTGTAGACGTGCGCATATGTATATATACATACAATGTGTATATAGATGTATACGTGTTAATACATATATATATATATATATGTATACATATATAGAGGTATCTATACACATATATACACATATATATATACATATACATATATATATATATATATATATATATATATATATTCAGCTATATATATATAGTTGAATATATATATATATATAGATATCGTGGACCTTCGTAAGGTGTATGGAGATTTCATCTTCTCGCCTTCTCGCACCTCCGACGGTCCAAGACGGCTCCAGCGATGTCGAAGACGGCCCACGATTGCCCAAGAGGCCCCCCAGACGGCCCCAAGAGGGCCCCAACACGGACCAAGAGGCCCCCGTGACGTCGCCAAGAGGCTGGCGCCGCCGATTCAGATCCGCAAGGCTCTCCTGCCGAAGCGCTTGCGAATGTGTCTCACGAGAGCACGCCAGGCTCGACTGTGATGCTGGGGGAGTCGCGTGCCAGAGGGGCGCCAGGAGCAAGAGGTACCAAACCGTCCCGGAAGGCCCCACTGCGCTTCGATCTCCCCCTCGACACCTCAAGACGGCTCCAGAGGGGTCGTACGGTTGCCCCAGGAGGGCCCCGTGCGCGACCGAAGAGAAGACTGCGCGTTCGGCCACGTGCGCGTCGAGGCCTCTGTGAGATTCGCGTGCTGTCCGCCTCTGCTTCTTCGTGCAGCCTCCTCGCTTCTCGCTCCTCACCCTCGCTCTCCGCTCGTCGCTTCTCGCCCACTGCTTCTTGCCCCCTCCCCTCTCTCCCCTCTGATGGCTCCTCCTTTCGCACTTTTCCTCGCCCCTCGCTTCTCTCTCCTGGCCCCCTGATCCTCCCTCTTGGCTGCCCGCACCTCCCTCCTACCTCCTCCCACCTCGGCTCTCCCTCCTCCCTCCTCGCCTCTCTCTCGTCGACCGTCGCTCCTCCCTTCTTGCTCACTGCCCCTCGCTGAGATCGCTCCTCGCGTCTCCCTCCTCCCCCCTCGAACTCGGCTGCTCGCTCCATGCCCCTTGCTGCTCGATCTTCTCACGGGTACCTTTTTGCGGCAGCAAGCGGAAATGGCGAGAAGCAGCACCCTGCAGCATGAAGCAGCAACAGCGAATATCAGCATCATCATCATCATCATCATCATCATCATCATCATCATCATCATCATCATCATCATGATCATCATCATCATCATCATCATCATCATCATCATCATGATCATCAGCATCATCATCATCATCGTCATCATCATCATCATCATCATCATCACCATCACAATCACCATCACCATCACCATCACCATCACCATCAGCATCACCATCATCAGCAGCAGCAGCAGTGGCAGCACGTAGCAGCACCCTCCAGCGGCAGGCAGCAACTTCAGAGGCCTAGTTCGAGCCCCACATCACCAAGACTAGTGACAGCCTCTCAGCAACATCTCCGCCCTGACCCAATGTGCCATCTCGGATGGATTTCGCGATCCGCAGGCCACGGGTCAGCATTAGTCATCAGCTACAGTGCTGGGATCAGCGCGTGCGAGAATGGCCAGCAGTAGTAGCGGGCTTCGGTGCTGCACAACGGGATGTGGGAATCAGCATCAGCATCAGCATCAGCATCAGCATCAGCATCAGCATCAGCAGCAAACATGACTGGTAATCAGCAGCATCCTGCAACCACAAACAGCAACATCATCAAGCAGCAGCAGCAGCAGCAGCAGCAGCAGCAGCAGCAGCAGCAGCAGCAGCAGCGGTGCGCAGCAGCGCCAAGCCGCATCCAGCAGCAGCAGGCAATGGCCAACACAGCCCGTACAGGCGAAACAGAGCAGCATGTGTACATAGGAAGCTCTGGCTGGCAGCAGCAAACAGCAGCAAGCGCCAGCGAGCGGATGGGCGAACAGTTCTGAGAGGCAAGCAGACAAAGCAAAGTAGTTAGGCGGTCAGGGTCACGAGGCAGCAGGCCACCAGGCTCGCAAGCAGGACAGCAGGCGAGCAGACAAGCTGGCAAGCGAACCTCGCCCTTGCGTGCGACTACGGCTTCGTGGACGGTGGTCCGTGGAGTTCCCTCGGCGGCCCCGGGCTCCCTGGCGCTCAGCCCGAGCCCCTCGCTCCCTGAGGCGCCCCTGTCCTCGATCTTAGCTCTTTTCGCTCCTCTCTGCTCGCTCCTCTTTCATGGCTGCAAGCTCCCTTGTTTCAGGAGGGGAAAAAGCACACAGACACAATGAGTCGGCGATTCCCCAGACAATATGGGAAACTATGGGAAGTGGGGGGAAGACAAAAACCCAGAACATATGGGAAACTATGGGGAATCTGGTTATCTATGTGTGTATTTATTTGTGTGTCCCAGTTTCCCTTCATTGTTGTTGCCTCCTCGCGGCTGCCCCCCCCCAGCAGTCCGCGCGGCCCTCGAGGGCCCGACGAGCGCCCCCAGGGAGCCCGCGACGGCTCTTCCATCCCTCCTCCTCCTCCTCCTCCTCCTCCTCCTCCTCCTCCTCGCTCCTCCTCCTCCCTCCTACTCGTTCCCCCTCGCTCCTCCCTGCTCCCTTCTTGCTTGCTTCTCGCCGCCTGTCACCACCCACCAAACCACCCCAACCCAACCCGAAGCCCTCAATTTGCCCTCCATTTCCAGTGGGGGGGGGGGGTCGGGAAACGTCGAAAAAACACATGTGGAACCCGTACCCCCCCAACCCGAAATCCGGGTCTTCGGGTTGGGTTGGGGTGGTCTGGTAGGTAGTCAGCCTGGGCCTCGGGCCCGACGCCATCATGAACGACCCTCGGCAGCAGTTCCACCATCACATCACTTGCCACTTTGGGCAGATTTCGCCGACGATAGTCCGTTGGCCAGCCCTAGTCAGCTACAACGCTGGGATCAGCGCGTGCGAGAAACGCGATCAGTGGCAGCGTGCCCTGGCGCTGCTCGGCGAGATGTGGGCGACGAAGCTGAAGCCTGACGCTATCAGCTACGGCGCTGCGATCTTCTCGTGCGCTGCGGGTATGCAGTGGAAGCTGGCCCAGTCGCTGCTGAGCGAGATGTGGTTGGCGAAGTTGGTGCCCGACGTCCTCAGGTAGCAACGTAGCAAGCAGCAATGACAAGCAGTAAAGAAGTCAGGTGATCAGGCCACGAGTTGCAGGCCACACTGCCAGCAACTTCGCTGGCAGGCTTGCGGACAGGAGGTCGCACAGACAAATGATCTTCACCCTTGCATGCGAGTAAGCTTTCGTGGTAGCCGGGGGGTCATGATCAGATCAGGCCGCCTGCTGTGGACGTAGTCCACGGATCAGGGTCAGCTACAACGCTGGGATCAGCGCGTGCGAGAAAGGCGAGCAGTGGCAGCGGGCCCTGGCGCTGCTCGGCGAGATGCGGGAGGTGAAGCTGGAGCCCGACGTCATCTCTTCGAAACTGCAGCGACCCCTGCGTGCAGGGAGGGCCTGTGCCCCGAGTGGGCCCCGGACCCCCTGGGGCGCCCTCAGAGGCCCCCGGGGCGGTCCATCACGGCCCCAGGTGCCCCCCAGATGTCAGGAGGGGAAAAAACACACAGACACAATTCATCGTCGATTCCCTAGGAAAATATAGGAAAATATGGGAAGTGGGGGGGGAAGACAAGAACCCAGAAAATATAGGAAAATATGGGGAATCCTTTTATTTGTGTGTATTTATTTGTGTGTCCTGGGGCCCCTTCACCCAGATGGTCCAGGGGCCCGAGGGCGGCCTCTGACGGCCCCAAGGCGACTCCGACCGAGAGCTCTCGAGGGCGCCGGGACGGCCAAGAGAACCCGAAGAGGGGTCCTCCGATGGCCCAGCAGGACCCAAATTACCAGCCTCGAACTTATCCCTATCCTTAAGATTGACACGCCAAAAGGCGATGACAATCTTAGGGATTCGCCCTCAAAAACTAAGGGAACCCCTAAGATTGGCATCGTGATGAGGAGGTGCCCAGCATAGGGATAGAGATATGTTCCATGCTGGTAACGAAGGGGGGTCCTCCGATGGCCCAACAGGACCCAAAGGCATACCAGGAGGCTAGCGGCCATTGTGATGGCCCCAGAGAGGCCCATGTGACCCCAAGACAGCCCCACGAGGGCACCAAGATCTGCCCAAAGCGGGCTCCAAGACGGCCCAAGATCCTTGGCATGGCCCGCGGACGGCCAAAGAAGACCCGAAGACGGCCCAAGAGGGGCCCCAAACGGAGCACCAGGGCTCAAAGAGGCCCCGGAGAGGCCCCAGGAGGCCCCGAAGAGCTCCCCAAGGGGGTCCAGACGACGAGCTTCGCGCAGCCCCGAACGGGCCGAGATGCCTCCAGGATCGTCCCGCGGAGGCGCCAGCGGCCCCCACGCTACTCCCGGGGACGGTCCCAGGATCGGAAGCTGGAACACATACACCACCAGTGGCGGGCTGTTTTTCGATCTCAGGTCTTCTTGAGCGTCGAGGACGACGCTGGGGCTCAGTGGGCCCCAGAAACGACAGGGCCGTTTTCTTACGGGTTCCGTTTTGCCGTTTTTTTGCCGGTTCGACGCCGTTTTTTTACAGGTTCCGTCGCCGTTTTTTTGCGGGTTCCGCTCCGGTTCCACTCCTGGAGCTGTTTTTGTTGCCGTTTCCGGTCGCCGTTTTTTTTTGCCGTTTCCGTTTTCAAGGGACTCTTTTTCGGAAACGGTGAAACGGCCCTGCCGTTTCCGGGGCCCACTAAGCGCTGGGGTGGTGTGGTGTATATTTTTTCCCCGATGCCCCGGGGAAACAGCGAAACATGTGTACACCAGGGTCCCCTATACACCAGGGTCCGCTTCACTGTGCGGGTTTCAGTGCGGGGCTGGAAAGAGCGTCGGTGTATAGAGTTCGCTTCCTTACAAGATATCCCCCCAACAGAGACCTACCAGCCCCACGGCCTCCAGAAGTTTCCACGGGAGCCACGCAAGAAAGCGGGGTCGTGTTCGCCGAGTCAGCTGCCAGCTGCCCGCGCAAGGTCGCGCGTAAGAGCCTTCGCTTCCAGCGTGGCGTGCCGCTCTGGCGGCCCGCGTAAGCCCCCGTGTCAGTTCGCTATGTCATCTCGCGCAAGACCCCTTCCGGACCGTCGCCCACGTGCTTCCTCGATGGCCGCGGATGCCACCGGGCCCTCCCCTCTCCCTCCCCAGGGCCGTCGCCCCGCCGTGCCGGGGCTTACGGACACGCCGTTTCGACGCGGTTGCGGCGCCGTTGCCTAGTCGCGTGGGGCGGCGAGGGCCAGGTGAGACAGCCGCGGCCAGACAACACAGAGGCGAAGCTCGGGCCCAGCGTCATCATGATAGCCTTCCAGCAACATCTTTGCCCTGACACGTTTTGCCATACGTATCGGACAGATTTCGTGGCCTGGAGGCCACAAATTAGCTAGTGCGAGAAGGGCGAGCGAGCGACCTAAGGGGAGACTAGATGTTCGGCCATGCGCGCGTCGAGACCATCGGGAGATTCATGCGTTCGTCGTTCTCCAACCCTCTCTCCTTCCTCCTCGCTCACTCGCCCATTGCTCAACGCTCCTCGCTCCTTGCTCCTTGCTCCTCATCCCCGTACTCCTGCCCGCTTGTTTCTCCAGTTCCTTGGTATCTTCCGCACCAGCAGGGCCTCTCACGGCCCCGGAGGGGCCCTGCGCGCCTCGAAAACGGGACATCATGCAAGCTGGAGAACTCAAGTTCTTTTCGGGGCGAAGGCTAACAAATGGGCGGCTCATGACCGCCTGTGGCACATGCGACGACATCAGGCGAAGACTGGCGGGCAGCCCTGAGGTGGGTAAAGGAAGGGGGTTGGTAACGCAACGCGGTGACGACGACGAGGAGCGCGTGGCGAGGAGCAAGAGTTCGAAGGGGGGGGGGGTGGCCAGCCGTGACGACGATGTGGAGCGATGAGCGAGGAGTAGAATTTTTTCAACGCAATGCCGTGACGACGACGATGACGGATGACGACGACGAATATGTGTGGAGAGAGGAGACATATCTTTCGCCGCCAGGAGCGCTGTTCTTGCCCCTGAGAGAGGACGGATGGTGGGGTGCTCTTTACAATTCCAGAATCTCCATTAAAGGATGGCCTCAAGACGATTTGAAGGGACAAGCGGCAGTCAGCGGCAGTGAGCGGACGAGCAGGCAAGGAAGCAAGCAGCAAATTAATCAGGTGATCAGGCCACGAGTTGCAGGCCACACTGCCGGCAACCTCGCTGGCAGGCTTGCAGACAAGAAGTCGCACATCAGTCCGCCTGCTGTGGACGTAGTCCACGGATCAGCCCTGGTCAGCTACAACGCTGGGATCAGCGCGTGCGAGAAATGCGATCAGTGGCAGCGGGCTCTGGCGCTGCTCGGCGAGATGCGGGAGACGAAGCTGGAGCCCGACGTCATCAGCTACAGCGCTGGGATCAGCGCGTGCGAGAAAAGTTATCAGCCCCAGCGGGCCTTGGCAATGCTCAGCGAGATGAGGGGGACGAAGTTGGAGTCCGACGTTATCTGATCTACAACGACTGATGGTGCACGCCAGAGCACATGGGCTGTCCGTTTCGGCGCCAGGATCGGACGAGCAGCGGCGCTGGGCCATACCGCTCCTCGGAGAGAGGCGGCCAGATCAACATCACCACCGTGCTGAGATCATCTGAGGCTGATCACGGAGGTTCACAACGCATCTCGGCCATCCTCGAGGAAGGAGCAGCTGCATGAGCATGCACCTTCGGAGGTCCGCGCGGACTTCTCCTGGATCGGTGCTGGACCCCGCTCCCTGGCGCGCTCCGAGCGCCGGGGGCGGCGCCAGAGGCGCCGCCATGGGGCCGAGGCGCCGATGCAAGAGATCCAGTTGGGCCGCCGGAAGTTTATGCTTACATTGTTTTTTTTGGTTCCTCGACGTCCACGGCGCCGCGGGTGTCGACGTGGCCGCCGCCGTCGCCCACGGCCGCGCCGAGGGCTGCGCGCGCGGGAGCTCGGCGAGCAGTTGCAGCCGGTGCGGGCGCGGGCGTCGCTGCGATCCCCAGCGCATCTCAGCCATCCACGGCGCCGTGGGTGTCGACGAGGCCGCCGCCGTTGTCCACGGCCGCGCTGAGGTCAGCGCGCGCGGGGTTCTCCGTGAGCAGCGGCAGCCTAGCGTGGGCGCGTTCGCCGAAACTGCGAGACGGAACCCTTCGGGGGAGCACTTGGGAGAGGAAGAGAAGGGAGGGGTGGTGGTGGTGGTGGTGGTGGTGGTGGTGGAGGAGGAGGAGGAGGAGGAGGAGAGGAGGAGGGGAGGAGGAGGAGGAGGAGGAGGAAGTGAGGAGGAGGAGGAGGAGGAGGAGGAGGAGGAGGAGTAAGTGGAGGAGGAACTGTCGCCGACTCCAGGTCGATGCCTTTCCCCTGCCTGAGCGGGTCCCCCTCGAGTGATCTTCCTCGTTTGGCTGTCGAGCCGTACTGCGGGGCCCCAGCGGCCGATGGGGCGCCCGGGCAGCCCTGGACGCCCCCCCCGGCGAGGCGCAGCCGCCGGAGAGAGCACGCCGAGGCTGGCAGCCAGCCCAGAGCACACGAGAGCGCTCGAAGACCTCGAGCTTGGAATCGAACCTCGATGCTTCTCTGGGGGGCCACATGCGAACCCTACCCCTATACCCCCGACGATTTCTGATGGGGAGGGTGGGGTAGGGTTCGCATGTGGCCCCCTATTCTCCCCCCCGAGCCCGTCCCCCCCCCATGAAGTCAGGGCACCGAAGAAGGAGCCCCGTTCGTTTTGGGAGGGGCTCCGTGCTCCCCGGTTGTTTGGCAGCTTGCTTAAGGTTTTCCTCCGGTCTTCGATGGGACATCGAAGCTTGACTTGTGGAACAAGGGGGCCTTGTCGTTGCTTGGGTCAACGCCCCAACGGTAATGTTGCCCCTCCCTCCACCCATCGTAGCTGCCTCCTCCTCCTCCTCCTCCTCCTCCTCCACCTCCTCCTCCTCCTCCTCCTCCTCCTCCTCCTCCTCCTCCTCCTCCTCCCCCTCTTCCTCTCCCTCCGCCTCTTCGTGCATGTGAAGAAAAGTCAGTTCGTGTTGCCGACCGCGGAGGCGGAGGATTCCTTCCGCCAGGACTGCCAGGGGAAACAACTGAAAGTTTCCAAGGGTAAGATCGGTCGGGCTGGTGTTTATCTTGGTGTGTCGTTCGGCCTCTCTGGGCCTGCGCTTTCGTGAGCCCCCCCTGCTTTGTCGTGGATGAAAGGTTCCCGTTATGTGAAGTCCCTAACTTTAGGTCTTGCAGGAAATATCCACATGTATAACATTTACTGCCAGCCCGTGGTCCAGCACGTGGCGCAGTTCTTCGCGCCATCTCCTGCTTGTGCACGTTTGGAACGCGAGGTGCTCCAGCAGCTTCCTATCGCACCCAGGCACAGCTTCACGTCGGGGATGCTTTGGACTCTGGACATGTTCGGCTTCTTGGTTGGAGCAAGAAGCATCGTTCATTGTGCCCGTGTCGCTCAGTACCGTGCAGCACTGCGTTCTGAAGAATCTACGAGATTACGAGACCACCTCGCCAGATCTTTGTTTGATGACGAATGTGTACTGTTCTATGTATCCTCTCCTACCTATGTCTTTTCGGCCTTGATCAACATGCTGGACACCTTTAACAATGTTGTGGAGATCCCGTCGGTCCCCTCTTGTCTCTGTAATGGCCTCCAGAGGAAGATCACGAGAGAACTCCATCGTCTCTTTCCCACCTCTTCCTCGCTCCCTGCCCTGCACGCCCGTCTTAATTACTGGTTCCCGACGACTCGAACCCAGGCTTCTGACCGTTTAGATCGGGCAGCGGTCATAGCTCGTAGGTTGGGCCCCTTTATAGCCTCGTCGGTCCTCAAAGAAATAGCGAATGCTTGGGCTACGTCTCGGAGACTCCGTCAGGGTCGCCAGTGTTGCCTGTTTGGTTGCTGTGGTGTAGGTGGTGACGAAATCCCCCATTATGTGAGTTGCCCGTGTGTGCTTCCTCTAGTTAAGGCCCGTTTACCTGAGCTCCCTGAAAGCTGGGGCCACGACTATTTGTTGTCTTTTCTCTCTTCGCTACCGACCTCTATGAAGGAAGTGAGGGTCTGTGGTCAATTGCACTTGCCGTTGACGCGGTGAGGGCTGGGTTCCCTGCACCGACCAGAGGGCTGGCATGGCCCTGGGCGCGGCCTTGGCGCTCGAAGGGAGCTCACAGCCCTCGGCCCCCGCAGCCTTGTTGCCACCTGCCCTGGCCGAGGAGGTCGGGGACGCCTTCGCTGCGCTTTGGCACGACGTGTTCAGGGGCAACAGTGTTTACTGTTGCATGCGCTGCGGGTCTCACTGTGCTGCGGGAGATGTCCGCACAGTGCGGAATCTTGGCTTGAGGTGCGATGGGCTCTCGCCCTACGAGTCCACGCGCCGCAACCAGCAAGATGCGATCAGGCGCGTCGAGAGGGGCCTGGTGCCTCGTGCCCGGCGTACCCCAGCAGCGCCGCCCCCGCAGGGGGGGCTCCTCTTGCAGCCATGCGGCGCGTTGATCGACCATGTCGTGATTCGCTGCCGTTCCGTGGTCGGCTGGTGGCACGGCGTCTTCTTCGGTGGCGACGCATCTCTCGCCGGCGGCAAGTTGGCCTGCGTCCACGGCCTCGAGGGCGACTTCGTCCAGTTGCTCTCCTTCTACATCGCCTCCTGCCCTTACGGCACCGTGCCGTGAGTCGGCGGCGCCCGGGGGTAGTCCGTCGCGCGCCCGCGTGCGCGGCGGGAGACCTTCCTGAGGCGCTGCGCTCCTCCCTCCTCTCCTCCCTCCCTCCCTCCCTCCCTCCCTCCCCCTCCTCCCCCTCCCCCTCCTCCTCCTCCTCCTCCTCCTCCTTTCCTCCTCCTCCTTCTCCTCCTCCTGCTCCTCTTCCTCCTCCTCCTCTTCCTCCTCCTTCTCCTCCTCCTCCTCCCTCCTCCTCCTCCTCCCCCTCCTCCTCCTCCTCCTCCTCCCCCTCCTCCTCCTCCTCCTCCTCCTCCTCCTCCTCCTCCTCCTCCTCCTCCTCCTCCTCCTCCTCCTCGGGTCGCCTGCGGCCCCGGGGGAAATCGCGCAGCCGGCCCCCCCCGTAACGTTGCCCCCCCGCAAAAACCGGCTGGCAGCGCTGCGTTGCGCCGCCCCCGGCCAGCGGGAAGGCGGCGCGTCGCCAGGGCTCTGCGCGCGGCAGGCCCCTGCTGGTCGAGAGCGGCAGGGCCGGGGGGCACACGGGGGGGGCTCCGCGGGGGCCCTTGGCGGCGGCCGACTGGGGGCGGCTCGGTGCCGCGCCGCTGCAGCCCTGCGCGGGGGCGGTGTGGAGGGTGTCCCCGAAGGGCTTGGGCGACACCTCCTCCCCGTCCTCCTCCTCCTCCTTTTCCCCCTCCTCCTCCTTCTCCTCCTCCTCCTCCTCCTCCTCCTCCGCCTCCCCCTCCCCCTCCTTTTCCTCCTCCTCCTCCTTTTCCTCCTCCTCCTCCTCCTCCTTTTCCTCCTCTCTCCTCCTCCTCCTCTTCCTCCTCCTCCCCCCCCTTCCACCACCTCGTCGTCGTCCTCTTCCTCCTCCTCCTCCCCCTCCTCCTCCTCCTCCTCTTCCTCGGGTTTCTGCGGGCCCGGGGGAAACGTCCAGGGGGAGCTCTCTGGCCGAGTGCCCGCCCGCGGCGCCCCTCGCGCTGAGCTCGCTTTTTCTGCTCGTCGCCTCGGGTCGTCCTCCGCTTCGACGGCCTGCTGCTCGTGCTGTTCAGCTTCCTGCTTTCGGGCGACGAAAGCTGTGCATTTCCGCCGCCCCCTGGCCAGGCTCTTCCCGGGCCGGAGCTGCGAGTAAGCCTTCTTGGCCAACTCCAGGAGGGCGTGGCGCATACACCGCTGCGGGATCCAGAACGGACCTGGCCAGGGAACAGTGGATCTGTGCAGATCTCGCCGCCACTGCGTGCTACGCCCTCTTCGGTGCCCCGATACCGCCTGCGCGCCGCCCGCTCGCCGACTCTCGGCGGTGGGGCCCTGCCCCCCCTCTCCGCGGCCGCCGTCTTCTTCCTCCTCCTCCTCCTCCTCCTCCTCCTCCTCCCCCTCCTCCTCCTCTTCCTCCTCCTCCTCTTCCTCTTCCCCCTCCTCCTCCTCCTCCTCCTCCTCCTCCTCTCTCCTCCTCCTCCTCCTCCTTCCTCTTCCCCCTCCTCTTCCTCCTCCTCCTCCTCCTCCTCCGCCTCCTCCTCCTCCTCCTCCCCCTCCTCCCTCCTCTCCTCCTCCTCCTCCTCCTCCTCCTCCTCCTCCTCACCTCGTAGGGGGCGGTTGAGTCGACGCACTTTCGCCGGCTCTCGCGCCCGTTCCCGGCACGCCCTGCCGTGAGCGGCGCCAGGGCCCGCGTCCGCTGGCGCGCCGCATCAAGAAGGCAGGAGAGGGGCGGGAGGGGATGAGGGTGAGGGTGAGGCAAGCTAGGTGCTCCTGTTCGTCCCTCCCACCCCTTCGCATCACCTTCCCTTCCCATTCTATCCCTTCCACCAATCCCTCCCTCCCATCCCATCCCTCCGTCCCATCCCTTGCCGTCCCTTCCAATCCCCTCCCATCCCTTCCCATCCCTTCCCGTCCCTTCATCCCTCCCAGCCTGTCCCATGGCGCTGGTTTTACGCGTGTCGTAGCCGATCTGCGACTCACACAGAAAAGCCTTTTCGTGTCATGCGCAATCGGGAAAAGGGGAGCTGCGTGCACAGGAGGAGGAGGAGGAGGAGGAGGAGGAGGAGGAGGAGGAGGAGGAGGAGGAGGAGGAGGAGGAGGAGGTGGCGGGTGAGCAGGAGGATGAGCGGAAGGAAAAGGGTGATGACGAACAGCAGCGGCAGCTTCCGAAGGTCCTTGAGGGCTGGGCGACTCATATGCAATCGACTTGCGTTGATCCAACCAGATAGTGTGTGGTGAATCTACGTAGCCCGACCTGAATCCGGGCAGGTGGAGGCAAACCCAGCAACATCCAGACACACCTGGAGGAACCGTGGACGCTTCAGCGCGGGCCGAGGGGCAGCAGGAAGGCGGCCGAGGGCCGCTGCCACACGCGAGCCCTACCCCTCCCCCCCTCGATTTCTCAGGGGGAGGGTGGGGTTCACTTCGTTCGGGAGCTCCCGAGCGAAGCGACCCCCCCCCCCCTCAGAAATCGTGGGGGGTAGGGTTCGCATGTGGCCCCCCCAGCTGAGGGCCGCCGAGGGCCGCCGACCTCCGCCCACACCCGCCCAGGGCCGCCGAG